TTCTCCTCTTTAACGGATTAATGTATGGAGAAAGCAGCACGGCTGCGTTTCTCTTAACTCGTTGCCCCCTTCTTGTAGGCAATTCAGAGTTTGGATGGTCGATCACAATGATTTCATTACTAGGTTGGCATACATGTGAAGATATCGAAGGCACTTCAACATCGCCTTCAAAAGTTGATCAAGCACACAATATTGAAAAGTGAAAATATTGAAATGTAAATTATATATACCTTTGTTAAATATGTTTGAGCTGTCTTTCGTCCCAACCATCTTCTCACTTACCTCAAATTGTTGAGCTTTCTTGGTTCGAAATTTCTCTCCAATCCAGATTAAAGCCGTTGTTGGTACACAACTATGGCAGATGAAGGATCTGGCACAAATCCTACAAATGGGACCCAAAAAAAAAAATTATTTTTAGCTTATCATAAAGAGTAACAGAGAGAATATACCATCATCATATATAGGAAAAGTCTCGTGTTGTTTATTCGGTGTGACTTCTTCTTTGGAGCAATCTTCAATAATCACATCTTTTTCCACTCTTGCCTCTTCGTTCTGTTGACTGTGTGTACTATAAGCATTTTCATCAAATCCACTCCTTTCTGACTGAACTCCACCTCTACCAACCAACTGGAGAAACAAATATATTTTCTTTTCCACTCGATTGAAGTGCTCTAATATCTCACCTCGTAGCCTCTCCACAACTCCTTTTAGTTCTTGTTTTATTATGTAAGTGATATAATCATAAGAAGTGGGTGGTGGTCATCCAGCTGTTTTAGATGAATGTCGATGGCTAGACACTGATGGTTGATCCGATGTCTTAGGACATTGTCGATCACCTTTTCTTGATGATATATCATCACTCTCAGAATTGTTTCCACCATCATTATCAAACGCGACATTATCCATCTTAGGATCAGCATCATCATCAAAAGATCCCAATTCCTACCAAAATGGCTCCAGCAGTTCATCATCTGTAGGATTTAAGGTACGATGTACCTCAATTTGAAAAAAAAAAAAGAATGTATAATTATTAAGTCAATTGTTTAGTTATAATTTCAAATACGTCATGTAGATTTTACTAAACAAAATTCACATTTGATGATTCAAAAACATGCAAAGTATTTCCCCCCTAAGTTGGTTGCACATTTCCTAGCATATCATTCTTGAAATTCTAGAATCATTTGTCACACGACTAAATCTCTTTCCAATATTGGGAATTGCTTCAAATGCCCAAATCTGTACAATCAAAAATTTAATTTTCAGAGACATAATTAAAAAATTGTACTGTAAAAAATAGTTTTAGAAAATATTACCATGATTGCAAGCTGAAATTCATGTAGAGAATACGAATTTCGTTGAGAACTTGTATAATTCTTCAACATTTTTCCCAACTTACGCTTGAACACCCTAATACTGTACTCATACGACTTTTCCCCCCATGGATAGTTGTTAAATCTATCAAGATCATCTACAAATACAATCACCATGGGTTAATATATGTATTCTCATCTATTGCCAAAATTACATATACAAATATAACGAGGAGACCCAACTTATATTTATCACTCTTATGCTTGCAACGTTTGAAAATATCTAACATAAACCTCTCTTTATTCTATCTTGCTACGCTTGAAACGTTCTTTCAAGAGCTTACAATTATTCCCTAGCGTCGGATCCTCGACCTTCATATCCCCAGCTTTAAACCCAGTCATCAATGTCAACTCTTGCAATCAAAATCTTGCAAGCTTGTCTCCAATTTTAATCCATA